CCACACCATGCGCGGGCTCTGGCAGCGCAGCACCGCCTGGGCGCCCGCCGCCCAGCTCACCGCCGACTCGGACACCACGGAGCTGCCGCCGGCTTGCGCGGGCCCCGAGAGCGCTGGAGGGGAAGGGGGAGTGGGAGAGGAAGGGGGAGTGGGAGGGGAAGGGGTGGGCCCGGGGGACAGGCATGCGGTGGGACTGGCCCCACAGCAGGGACCGAGGGTTGTTACTCACCTGAGCACAGGACAGAGCAGCCTGGAGGGAGAGGAAGACGGAGTGAGACTGGGGAGGGGCGGCCTCAACCTCTGCATCCCGGTCACCCAGCCCAGGAGCCCCACTTGGATCCCTGGTTCCCTCCTGTAGTCCCTGGCAGGGTGGGTGCTGTGACGCCCACTTAACTGGGGGCGATGAAGCTGGAGAAGTCAAGAGGACACAGGGTGGGGGCACTTCCCACACATCCCCACTTAACATTCATGCCACCTGTCCTTTGGGAGTGGGGAAGCCAGGGGTCCCCAGGGGTGAGTGGTGGGCCAGGACCAGAGCCCGTACAGGCCAGCTCTGGAGTGGCTGCTTGTCACTAGAGGCCACTCCTCAGGACAGTGGCCATAACGACCACCACTGCACCGGACTCCTCCCAGAGCTGAGGCTGGTTCTGGGGACTCCCTCACGTGCTCATCCAGAAGTGGCATGTACCCCTGCCAAGGGCCACGCCACACCAGCCATTGAAGGTCCTCAGGTCCCCGCCCCAACCCACACCCAGGGTCAGAGTGGAGCCCCTGTGGACCTTCCGCAGGGGGAGGGTCCTGCAGCAGTCCTGAGGAAGGCGGGACATGGGGAGCGACCCCCACCCGCCAGGCCACAGGCTGAGCTCCTGCTGGTAGCGAGTGCTCATCGTTTCACGTGCCCTCGGCACCTGCTCTGAACAGGAACTGGACCTCCTCACACCAGAAGCAGGGCTCGGTCCACAGTTTCCAGTCCTCCACCTCGTCCCAGTTCCTCAAAGTGGTTGACCAGAAACCTGCTTTAAGCAGCCACCTGCTGGTGACCACTTCCCTATGGGACAGCGACATGTGGCCTGCTGGACTGGCCTGCTGACCCTCACACCCACATGGACAGCCCAGGCAGGCCAGTGTCCACCTCTCAGTCACTGCATGACCCTGTGGAACTCATGCCTCCTGGCTCTGAACCCACCCATTAGAACTCCCCTCGGGAGCCTGCTTGGTAACGCCCTGGACCCCACTAACAGCCTTGGCCACGGGTCCCCCCGCCGTCCTGGTGCTGACCAGGCTCGTGTGGCTTTCAGGCGTGCCATGTTCCCCACAGCCTGTGAGTAATAAAGTCTTTATTTCCATTTTGTCTCCTAGTCATCGAAGGGGCTCTCTCCTCTGAAAGACCCTAAACTAAAACACTGCTCGGGAGTTGTGGCTGCGCGCCCAGGAGCTGCCGAGAGGAATGTGCAGGGTCAGCAAGCCAGCCCAGCCGGCACGGGCTCGGGGGGCCGGAAGCGGGGACAGGAACAGACCCTGCAAGCCCCTCAGTTCTCAGGCCCCCTCAGCCCGCAAACCCACTCCCATCTCCACGACTGGGAGAAGCCCTTCCCCCAGGGCCCCACTGAGAGGGGCGTGGGAGGGACCCCACTGCCTCAGCCTCCTGCCCTTAGCAGCCCTCTGGGCTCCAGCACCCCATAAGGGGAAGTCTGGTGGATGTTGGGCAGCCGACTTCACACCGTCCCAGGTGAGCTGCTCTCTTTGAAGCCCCCAGACCCGTCCCCTTCCCTGGGAGGGGCATCCCACCCCTCCCACCAGCCCAAACTCAGACAGGCGGTTTTGCCTGGAATATGAATTTGTTCCGACCCGCTCGCCGTCCGCACCCGGCCCGGCCCACCCTACCCCATCCCATCCCACTCACTCTGTAGAAGCACAAGTCCCCACGGCAGGACCAGGATGCCTGATGGCAGCTCCATGGCCCCCGCCTGGCCTGCAGCGCTTTGTCTCTCTCGGTCTAACTCTCCAGAAAAACAGCCAGCCCCCTCCCCCTCCTTGCACCCGCTGTGACATCACGGAGCCCTGGGCTGGTCCCCAGTCTGCAGACCGCCCACTCCGGTTCCTCTGGCCCCTTGGCCCCCCCATCCTGGGCTGGCCTGGTGGGGAGGGGCTGCGCACAGCCACCCTGCCCCAGACGTGAGGGTGTGGGGTGGAGGCCCGGCCCCCTCACTGGCCAGGTGCGGGTATGGGGGGAATAGCTCAGTCCTTGGAGGGGCAAAAAGGCCTGAGGGCAGGACCCGTGATGCCTCCCTGCACCTCTGTGATGTCTGGGACCCCTTCTGGGCTACTGCAGGGCTGGACTACTGGGGCGAGCCGCTCCATCACCCCCACCTCTGGCATTTCCCCATGTGAGCAGCCTGGGCACAGCGCGGGGGCCAGCAGAAAGGCATCCCAGGGCCGGGACCCCCAGGCTGCCTCCCACACTGCACACCCCTCTCGCCCTTCTTGCCAGCCCGGTGGCTCTTCCAGTCTGACCCTTAGCCATGGACAACCTTGGTACACCCTTCTTCTCTGGGGGCCGTGGTGGGCTCCCTTGGGACACATGGTGGACACTGCTGCTCAGTTATCTTTACCATCCAGATGAGTTGGCCAGGGGGGTGATGGTGGGACCCTGAGCACCGAGGAGCCCAGCGGCGTGAGCAGGGCTCTCCCTTCCCCGCCTGGCTGCCCGGGTCTGCCCACCATCAAGGGCAGACCCTGTTGTCCCTGAAACCAGACCTGGGTTACAGTGCTCCTGGGAGACCCCCGCCTGGGAGGAAGCGGGGAGCGGCCCCACAGAAGGCACAAATTTGAAGCTCTGGGAAAACTTACAAAGTCACATAAACAAATGGGAAATAACAGAGCATGCACTGTGTCCCAAACCCGCTCCTTCTAGTTAAGCAAACCTCAAGAAAAAAAAAAAAACCAAACAACCACGAAAAACCACCAGTGCCCAGTTTAGACTGGCCATTTGGATTGAGTTATCCCTGCAGGGGATAACTACTGGATATCCCTGGTGGGCCGGGGTCTCACCCTTGAACCCTGCCCTGGTTCCCAAGTCCTCAGACAAGGTGGGAGCCCAGCCCTGCTCTGGCTCTTGGTCTCTGGCATGGGAGGGGCTGCTGTTGCTGCAGTGACAGGGAGCAAGGGGGGACAGCGGGAGGACTGGCTGTGAAGACCCAGAGGCCCCTGCCACCCCAGCCCAGGACCTAAAGGGACCACCTCCTCAGCAGAATCCAGGAACGGGGCGGAGCCCCTTTTCCAAACTGAAACCAGAGCAGGAACTTGTCCCCCACCCCCCAGCTCCTCCCCGGGCCTTTCATTCTGGAAAAACAAGCCCCGCCTGGCTGGCCTCGAGGTCTGGCTTCTTCTGGCCTCTCCTCCTATTCCTGTAACTGGTTTCCATTAGCGCCACGGGCTCCCTGGCCATCTCTGTCTGTCTGTCTCCATCACAGGCGTTCCAAGGCCTGCCCTCGGCTGTCCCTCGTCTCTCTCCCCGTGAAGGGAGGATGCCTGAGCAGTGCTGGAGGAAGGCAGGGGTGGCCCAGGGCCAGCCCCTCAGGTCTGGGAGAGGACCAGCTGCAGCTACGGGGCCTGGGAGGGGAGTGGGGTCAGTCTGGGGCACCTGGGCCAACCTCTGCCTTAGGCCAGGGCACCCTAAACTCCCTGCAGGGCTCTCCTGCTCTGTGCAGGTTCTCTGACCTTGGCTATGCTTGCTGAGGTCCAATGGGACCCTCGAGCTGCAGACACAGCCAGCCCAGATGCAGGTGCAGGGTGCTGACCTCTGAGGGGCAGTTGCCCCCATCTCTAGCAGGAAGTAGCCACCAGGCCACCTGCCCCTCCCACAGCTACAGGCTCAGAGCCTTCCCAGCCTGGGCTGTGTAGCCCCCGCCTATAGGCTGCTCACTGGGTGGACGTGTGACCTTGACTCCCAGCCCCGCCTGGCATCTCTGTCCTCAGGGAAGAGGACAGACTAGGACAAAACAAAGCCACTGACATCACTGTGCTCTGGCCAAACCCCCAACCAGCCCAGAGCCGCGGACCCACCACCCTCCTCCTAGGAGGTGTGGCCACATGAGGGAGGTCAGCCAGCCCACTGGGCTCAAAGCTGAGGATCAGATGTTGGCTCCTGTTCCTGGTGACTTGGACATTCCAGGCAGCCCAGCTCTTTGGGAAGAAAAACCACAGGCCCTCAGAGACACAACCAGACCCACTACACACACATGCACACACTCAGAGACACAACCAGACCCACTACACACACACACTCGGAGATACAACCAGACCCACCACACACACAGTCATTCATGCACAAAGGCATGCATTGCATGAAAATCCAACTGCCTCATGTATTGAGCACTGCTGCCACCAGGCAGTGCCACTGTGGTCTTCACTGGGACACCACCGTCCCTGCCCTCCGGGGAGATGCTAGAGGGGAGGCAGACCATAGAGAGGCCTGCATGCTGATGAGTGTGACAAGCACGTGCGCCAAGAGAGCACAGCAGGGCCGGGGGCTCCCTTCACTGACCAAGGACAGCCTCCGAGGGAGTGACCAGGTTACAAGTGGACAGTCGGGCACCAGCCTGAGGGCGCCGCCTCCCAGGACACAGCAGCAACAACAGGAGGTCCTGGGGGCCTGGGTCTGGCTTTGGGTGTCGATATGGGAGAACACTGAGGTGGCTAATTTAAAGCTGTCAGGATTCACATGGACATACAAGGAAAACAGCCCCCGTAAAGCACAGGGTGGGCGGAATTCTCAACTCCTGGCCCATGGTGTCCACATCAGACAGCCCCTTTCCCTCGAGTGTGGGTGGGAGTCGCCACGCCTGTGATGAAGTTACACGATATGGCAAAGGCAATGTCTCCACTACAGCAGACAGGAGAGAGCCACTCCTGCTGGCCTTGGAGGTGCTACTGCTGCTGCCTGTGGTGAAAGGGGCTGTTGGGTGGGCCGTGGAGCTGAGCTCAGTCCCCAGCCCACAGCCGAGAAGAAGCCAGACCTCAGTCCTGCAACTGCAAGGAACTGAATTCCGCCAGCACCAGAGGGCCTTGGAAGAGGGCCGTGAGCCTCAGAGGACAGTGCAGCTCTCGGCAGCACTGTGTTGTCAGCCTGGAGAGACCCTGAGCACAGGACCTAGCAAACTCATATGCAGACTCCTGACCCCCAGGGACTGCAAGATGATACACATGTTTTGTGGAGCCACTGAGTGTGTGCTATCCGTTGTACAGCAGGAGACCAATGCCACCGTCCCCAGAGCAGAGCCAAGAGCAGTGCTTTTCAAGGCAGAAGAGCAGTCAGGCTGTCCCACAAGTCCTTGGCTTTGTGGCTCTGCATCAGCTGCTGGCAGAGGGCTTGGCGTGGTGGGTCATGGAGCTGCAAGGCCCCTGGGGCTTTGTCAGGAACCGTGTTGATCAGCTGCACCACTGGCCACGAGCCCTCGCCCTCAGGCCGTCCTGCTGCTGGTCCTACTGGGCTCCTGGAGTGGTCGCTTGCATGTGTGCTGGTCCTTCTGGGGCTGGACCGCTGGCCACATGGTGTTTTCTCACACCAGAGGGCAAGAAGTTCTGCAGACCCCATGTCTGAAGACCTGGATCCCAAAGGCTGGCTGATCATTGAGACATTGTGATTCAAAAAAAAAAAAAAAGTCAAGAAAATTAGAAAATACAGAAACACTATTTCTTTTATCCTGAGAAAATGTGAAGAAATCAAGACCAGACTTTTGCAGCCACAGCCAGATCGCTGGTGGCGGTTTCCCGCCTCGCTGTCACCAGCATGGTGGGCTCTCCATTTCCCGTTCTGTCCCTGCAGGTGCAGCCAAACCAGCTACTAACACACGGAAACCTCCTCCGGGACCCTGATCCCAGGCTCGAGGGTCCCCTCTGTATTTTTAACCTCCTCTATCATGGAAGAAATATTTCTTTATTGTCCTTATCGATTCATCAATTTTAAAATCAGGAACAAAGAACCGTTGATTACCGTGCCTCTCACTGTGGGGGATTCCACGTCTACCATGCCCCTGGCTAGTCGGGAAGGGCCTGTCCTTCCTCCCTGGAGTCTGCGGCGGGATGGCTGTAGGGCAGCCCGGACTGCTCCGTGAGGACCGCGGCTCTGCGTCCACGTGTGATGGACGCGCTGGCTTCTCAGGCAGCTTCTCATGCCTAACCGAGGAAGATTTACCTTTAAATGTGTCCTTTCAAGCGTGACTATGGTTACAAATTTGATTTATGCAAATATATTCTAAGAGGAAAGTGCACAGGCTTGTTCTTATCCCGTGTGGTTCCAGACACTGTTACTGCCGCTCAGCTCCAAAGTCACCCTTCAGTACCGGCTCTGGTGAGGACGGGTGTCCTGCGCAGTGAGCGCAAGGTTGAGCTCTCCCAGGAGAAGGTGCTGCAGGGACGATGCGATGCGATGCAGGATGAAGGGGTTTGTTTTCCTGCTGTTTCTGGCTGTGGCTGGGGGTCAGTGCTGTGGGTGTGAAGACATCGGTGGGGCTCATGGAAACTGTGTCCCGGCTTCCTCTGCGGTGTCCCCCGCAGCACACCGGCAGCCTCCTCTTCACGTCCAGGTTGCCCGTAGCTGACGGTCACACCCTACCTGCTCTCCAGGGGTTGCCTGTTGCCGCCCAGCGACTGCAGACCGCCGCGGCCTGGGTAAACCAGCAGACTTCTTTGCCATCATGGGCGCGGGGACAGCTGAATGTAGGCCGCGCCGCTGTGCCTCCCTGTGGCTTGTCTCCTGACAGCCTGCTGCGGACACAGCAGCGCGGCAGAGCCCAGGCAAGGCCCCGGGCACAACAGTGATACCGCTGTCCTGAGTGGGCTGCAGTCTTCAGTTGTCCTGCAGATTCCCTTTACATTTGCATCCAGACGCTCGATGATGTCTTCTTCTGAAATCTGAGGGTCAGCTGGAAGGAACTGCCATTTGCAGAATGCCTCGTTTACAGCCTGTGCAGGTAAGTTGAGCATTAAAGGA